TCTAAGCCCATGTCAAGTGCTAGGAGCTGCTTTGCTTCAAATCTGTTTATCAAAGCAGACACTCCCCCAAACACATACAAACCTCAGCCACCAAGGGTGGTAATTTCAGCAGCACCAACAGTCCTAGGAAGGCTGCATTTAATATACTGTGCTGTGGCTCCAATGACTAAACCAATTACAAGAGCTGGCAAACTGTTTCTATAAACAGTCAATGAAAATGTGACAGCACCCATGGTACACTGAGGATCCTGAGAAAGGATCAGATCAGGATGCTCCAAGATAAAGAATATCCTTGAAAGTCCAGAATCTATGTCTCTCCAAACACATGGAGTTTTTGACCCTCAAGTCTCTTAATTTTAGGACATGATTAACAATGTGAGGATATGCTAATTTAGGAGTCTAAATTAACAAATAAGGCAGTTCTACTTTCAAAACACTTTGCAGTAGCTTGGTTTTCTTTATAATACGGTAAAGATCATCCTAATATATGCACGTAACAACTAGATGAAATCATAGTTATGTACGTTAGATAACACGAGGCAGCACTTACGATATCTTGGCAAATGTAACCAATAGCTTCCAATGTCGACTCTTTCATGTGCTCTGTGCTGTTGGGATTTGTGACATTGGCCACCAGCTGAGGAATGAGTTCTGGCCACTGGTTCACTGGGATCTCTGCACAAGCAATGCCAGCCACACACTGCGAGGCTGAACTAGGCCGGTAGGTTTCTGTGCCCAAAGTCTGCAAAACCTGCAAGCACACACATACACCAAAAAACAAGATGAAAGATATTAATTTCTAATACGATTTAAACACCTCATATCCATCTCTGAGTTTTCTATAACACAAAAAAGTAGAAAATGGTATATACCGTATAAGTCAGTTGTCGGAAAAAGAAAAAAAAAAAAGCCAGCCTCAATACCAATCCCAGCACAATCAACATTGCCTCAGACCTCAGAAAAACAGCAACAAAAAAACCGACCCCTACTACCAATTGGAATTCTCCTAAGCCAGACAACTCATTTCAATGGTTCAACGCAGAAAAAAAAGCAGCACTTAGAAAAGAGATAGCATTAAAAGGCGAAAGAGATGACAAAATTAGTCTTCTATGTTCCTTGCTGGTATAATGGAAGGATGCTCACAGCTTTGTTTTGGGTAAAGGGTGGGATTTTAGGATGAAGGTAACTAACTCTGGGGCACTAAAGTGGATCTGATTCCTAATCTAACCTGATTCAAGGAAGAGATTTTCCCACTCATGAAATGTGTAACACACCTTCTGTCTTCTAGTCACTGACAATTTAGCACCCTGGGTGACTTTCATAGTAACATCATTAAATGTAGACATAAAGTTACTGATGTTACCAATACCTAAGAACCAATCCTTATTTAACTTCCAATCTGAAAGGATTTGATCTGTTTCCCCCCAAAATCAAAAAACTGTTCTCTCCACCATCAACAGGTACCAAGTACTAGTCAGATATGCCAATTAAAATGAAATCCACTTATCATTAAACATACCCTGTTTGAAATGGTATTCATACACGCATTTATGTAATGGGTAAAGGCACATGTACAGACAAAGGCTGAAGCCACAATGGATCCAGGGTTAATTATTACCATGATCAACTTATTTAGTCAACGAACTAAGAATCACCAGTCCACTCAAAAGGCAAACAGTTAACTGTTCCTGGCATGAACACAGGACAAAGAGTAGCTGCCAATTATTCAGGCCAACTCTGCTGACTGGGTCAGGTCACTTAGTATCCTGCATTGTAGCTAATAATAATGAACTCCCCCCATCTTTCCCCCTTATACAGTATACTCCCAACAGCTCTACCCAATAAACGGTTCTGATTCTAAATAAAGGTTTTGCTCTCTAGGGCTACTAAAGCTAGAGTGCACTGTAACAGAACTGTATGTCAAAAGTCTAAGGGAGCCCTGACCAGTTTGGCTCAGTGGATAGAGCGTCGGCCTGTGGACTAAAGGGTCCCAGGTTCGATTCCGGTCAAGGGCATGTACCTTGGTTGCGGGCACATCCCCAGCAGGAGGTGTGCAGGAGGCAGCTGATCGATGTTTCTCTCTCATCATCGATGTTTCTAACTCTCTATCCCTCTCCCTTCCTCTCTGTAAAAAATCAATAAAATATATTTTTTAAAAAAAAGTCTAAGGGAAAGTCCAGCCGGATAGCTGAGTTGATTAGACCGTCATCCCAATATGCCAAGGTTTTGGTTTGATCCCTGGTCAGGTCACATACAAGAATCAATCAATGAATGCATAAATAAGTGGAACAACAAAAATTGATGTTTCTCTCTCTCTCTAAAATAAATAAGAGAGTAGGAGGGGTAAAGATGAATTGTCCAAAATGGCAGGGGTTGAACAGTCATTAACCCAAGTCTGACCAAGAGCTCCAGTCCAGGGTGCCTTTATACTATTCTACTGCGCCATCTCCTAGAACAGCGGTCGCCACCTTTCGGACCTCATGGACCATCAGTGGTTCGTGGACCACCGGTTGGCGACCACTGTCCTAGAACATAAGTAGAGAGTACTGAACCCCATCTACCTT